GTACATGTCTCTTGGCCAAGAGTTCCTAGTGTAACAATAATAGCCACAGTGACACCAGCACAGTACTTGATGAAGGCACTTGAGAATTTCTGAAGCCAATTATCTATGGCAGATGCCCACAGTATCGATGGTTCACCCTTCTTCACTGGAGACATTCACAGTCACACACAGACTGAGATCTTAAAAAGTAAGGAGTCTCACGCTGGCAGCTGCTTGGCTGTGCTTTTGGTAACATTCCACAGAATGTTACATTTCCCCCTCAATAACAATTTGGATGAAAATTTAAAAATCAAGAGGTTTCCAAGAAAGAAAAAAAGATATCTAGAGTTCACAAAATTAAAAAAAAAGAAAAAAAATTCAAGATTTTTCCTTTATTTCTTGGAAACTTGAAGAACTGGCTGCAAGGCACTACCTGTGTGGCCGGAGTATGTGAGCCCCTGTGCTAAACAGAAACCCGACAAGGACTGTCTTCTTAAAGGAAACCTTTTAAGAAAGAGGAGATAGAGACAGGAGGTCACCAACACTGGTTCTGAGAAAAGTCCCCGCCTGACAGGCACGAACTGCATGCCTGCCTCCCTCCCAAGGTGTCCCGTGCCACCGCGGGAAAGTGACCCTCTGCCCAGGCTCTCCCACCACCAGTTTCTTGGGTTCACGTGGCAGTTATATTTGCACGGACAGTTATTGAAGTGTGGTAAAAACCAGCCTAGTGGGTAAAGGTTGCATGGCTTCACTGAATACAGGAGGAAACCAAATGAATTAGTATAGAGAACAGCTTAACAAACAAAGCTCTCGCAGAAGACAGGTCTGCGGTGATTTCTGGGCACTGGATCAGTTATGGCTGAACCAGGCCTGTCAGGGCTTATTTCTTCAGCGAGGTGGGCACTGGTGGCTGCCACTTACGACTGCTGATCTGCGAGAACTTCAGGGCCACGGAGAGGCTACTTCGGGCCACCATCTCACCAATCGTCTTCCAGTCATTCCCAAGGAGAGAATGGTACATCTTTAACTTCTCAGTGTCTCCTTCGCTATACCTAACAGAAAGGGAAAACATTTCACAAGTTTAAACTCACTATCAGATTAAATACGGTATTCTCATCCCAGTACGCAGCAATCGTGGGAAAAGCTGAATGGCGTAGGCTGTCAGGGAACCCGGTCAGAGTTCTCTTCATTTCCTGTGGGCGTCTCAATGGTGGTCATCCTATCAATCAATCACTGAAGTCGAGACCAGAGGCCTGGTTCAACTGAACAGCAGCCAGAGCAATCACTTAGCCCTTCTTCAGCTCAGAGCCTCTGTCCCTGTGGTGGAAATCGCTTTCCTCTACCCCACCTGGACAGTGCCTGCCTGCTCGCCAGTGCAGTTTAAACGGTGCGTTTTCAGGGAGCGCGTCCCTGACTCCCTTAGCCTGAAGTCCCCCTGTTGATTGCTCCTGGAGAACACCGTGCTTCTCTTTCACAGCACTGGTCACAACCCGCATTCACACATGCACAGGCTCCCTTGTTCACGCCTCTTCCTCTAGACCAGCACGGCCCAACAGAAACATAATATGAGCCTCTTACGGATTTTAAGTTTCCTAGTAGTCATAGGAAAATTCACTTTAACCTAGTTTTTTTTTTTTTTTGAGACGGAGTCTCGCTCTGTCGCCCAGGCTGGAGTGCAGTGGCACAATCTCGGCTCACTGCAAGCTCCGCTCTGCCTCCCGGGTTCACGCCATTCTCCTGCCTCAGCTTCCCAAGTAGCTGGGACTACAGGCGCCCGCCACCTCGCCCGGCTAATTTTTTGTAATTTTAGTAGAGACAGGGTTTCACCATGTTAGCCAGGATGGTCTTGAACTCCTGACCTCGTGATCCATCCACCTCGGCCTCCCAAAGTGCTGGGATTACAGACGTGAGCCACCGCGCCCGGCCTAACCTAGTTTTAATAAAAGGAACTTTAAGAATATATTTCTTACACAGGCATGTTGCGTGATGAAAAACAAAAACAAAAAATAATATATTTCATTGAACTCAATATATTAAAAATGCTATCATTTCAACATGTCATCAGTATCAAAAAATATCAATGATGTATTTTACATTCGGTTCTTCATCTGGAGCCTTCAAAACCCAGCATGTGTTTTACTCTGACGGCATCTCAATGTGGACTAACTACATTTCAAATGTTTGACAGGCCCAGGAGGCTGCTGGTCACCATACTGGAAGACACAGTTCAAGAAGGGAAGTTCCATGAGGGCAGAGACCTTGTCGGTTTCATACACTTTGGTATCCATAATGCTTGACAGACAACAGGCATTCCATAAACATACAACAAATGGCTTACTGTAAACATATAACTACTTAAGAAACGAAAAGTGCATTCATCCTACATAAAAATACATACATTAAAGTACTAAAAAAAGCACTATAATATTATAAATGGATTTTAAGATTAAAAACCTAAATAAGTAAATAAAAAGCAATCTTTACAACATCTTCAGATTCCTATCTGAATAGGAATGGTGGTTTATGTCATCGCTAAGGCAATACAAAAGAAATCCTAGAAAAATACAATTTGTTTGTTTGTTTGTTTGTTTTCTTTGAGACAGGGTTTGGCTCTGTCACCCAAGCTGGAGCACAGTGGCATGATCATGGCTCACTGCAACCTCCACCTCCTGGGATCAAGCAATCCTCCCACCTCAGCCTCCCAAGTAGCTGGGACTACAGGTGCATGCCACCATACCAGGCTAATTTTTGTATTTTTTGTAGAGCCACGTTGCCCAGGTTTGTCTCAAACTCCTAATCCAGTGATCCACCTGCCTTGTCCTCCCAAAGTGCTGGGATTACAGGCATAAGCCACCATACCCAGCCAAAAATAAACAATAACATCATAGCGTTTTCAGACATTTGTCTGTAAATGTGGCGTATGGTGAACAGAAACTGGTTATTCTTCACTATTTTTTTTTCAGATGGAGTCTTGCTGTGTTGCCCAGGCTGGAGTCCAGTGGCACAATCACCACAACCTCTGCCTCCCAGGTTCAAGCAATCTTCCTGGCTCAGCCTCCCAAGGAGCTGGGATTATAAGCGTGCACCACCACACCCGGCGAATTTTTGTATTTTTAGTAGAGATAAGGTTTCACCATGTTGGCCAGTCTGGTCTCGAACCCCTGACCTCAAGTGATCCACCTGCCTCAGCCTCTCAAAGTGTTGGGAATTACAGGTGTGAGCCACCATGCCTGGTCTATTCTTCACTACTAAGAATCATGGCTGTCAGCCAGGTATGGTGGCTCAAGTCTATAATCCTAGCACTTTGGGAAGCCGAAGCAGGAGGATCACTTGAGGTTAGGAATTCGAGACCAGCCTGGTCAACATGGTGAAACCTCGTCTCCACTAAAAATACAAAAATTAGCTGGGTGTGGTGACACTTGCCTGTAGTCCCAGCCTCTTGGGAGGCTGACGAAGGAGAATCACTTGAACCCATGAAGTGGAAGTTACAATGAGCCAAGATCGCACCACTGCACTCCAGCCTGGTGACAGAGTGAGACCCTGTCTCAAAAAAAAAAAAAAAAAAAAGGCCAGGCGTGGTGGCTCAAGCCTGTAATCCCAGCACTTTGGGAGGATCACGAGGTCAGGAGATCGAGACCATCCTGGCTAACACGGTGAAACCCCGTCTCTAATAAAAAAGTACAAAAAACTAGCCGAGCGTAGTGGCGGGCACCTGTAGTCCCAGCTACTCGGGAGGCTGAGGTGGGAGAATGGCGTAAACCCAGGAGGCGAAGCTTGCAGTAGAGTTGAGATCCGGCCACTGCACTCCAGCCTGGGCGACAGAGCGAGACTCTGTCTCAAACAAACAAAAAAAAGGCCAGGCCAGATGTGGTGGCTCATGCCTGCCTGTAATCCCAGCACTTTGGGAGGCCGAGACGGGCGGATCACGAGGTCAGGAGATAGAGACCATCCTGGCTAACACAGTGAAACCCCGTCTCTACTAAAAATATACAAAAAAATTAGCCAGGCATGGTGGCGGGTGCCTGTAGTCCCAGCTACTCGGGAGGCTGAGGCAGGAGAATGGCGTGAACCTGGGAGGTAGAGGTTGCAGTGAGCCCAGATGGCGCCACTGCACTCTAGCCTGGGTGACAGAGTGAGACTCCGTCTCAAAAACAAAAAAAACAAAAAAAACCCACAAACAATTGCCGGGCACGGTGGCTCACACGTGTAATCCCAGCACTGTGGGAGGCTGAGGTGGGTGGATCACCTGAGGTCAGGAGTTCGAGACCATCTGACCAATATGGTGAAACCCGTCTCTACCAAGAATACAAAAATTAGCTGGGTGTGGTGGTGGGCGCCTGTAGTGCCAGTTACTCGGGAGGCTGAGACAGGAGAATTGCCTGAACCCGAGAGGCGGAGGTTGCAGTGAGCCGAGATTGCGCCATTTCACTCCAGCCTGGGTGACAGAGCGAGACTCTGTCTCAACAAAACAAAACAACAACAAAAATTCAAAATTAAAATAATACTAATTCTTTGATTCTTTTTTTACTTTCTACTTTTTTTCAGTCAGAAATTGCATGTTATAAAAATATTCTAAGGGTAAATAATCACCACAACACAAATAATACAGTACAAATAGATGAACTGATAAATTATTAGAATGACTCTAAAAATGACTCTAAAAAGTGCATTGCTCTATGTGTGTCACAGGTGGAAATATATTATCTCAGCTGCCACCATTAACCTGCCAAAAGCATTCTCGGAAGTCCCATTTAAAATGTTAACCTTTAGTGGTTTTTCTTAAAGTTCTGTTCACAACGGTCTAACCTTGGGGCTGGGGAAAAATAGGCAGGGCAGGTCTCAGTCTGTGTATGAACTTTCCTCACCTAAGGCTGACTTCTTTCGGTAAAAAATGTAAAAAGGAAACCGAGGTGACATCAACGTTGGAAGTTTAGGTAATGACCTATGTTTTGGTTTACAATCACAGAGCTAAGCGGAACTTAACTACCACCAGAAGATTTCAGAAACCTGCCTCTCAGAGAGAGGTCCAGTAGTTGAGTAGAAGGTAGTTTTGGGGGGCCCTTGGAATCCAAGCTAACACCTTCCTGCTTCTCCTTCTGTCCTTGAGCAGAGTGCTAACGTGCTCACCTAAACACTCGGTCTACGTTTGGTTTGTTTTTAAATGTGGAATGTTGGAAGCACATTATAATCGGATATGGTATTTGGGGAAAAGGAAGGAGAGAATGACAACCGGGTTAAGCACCCTGGGTTGGTACCACTGAACTGCATTTAACGGACCTAATAATCCCAGCGCTTACCTCCACCTTCAAATAGTTAGTAAAAACCCACAGCAGTCTGCTAAGTGCTGGAGGGAACATCTGTCAAGATGGGATGTTTGGGTTCACAAGGAGATGACGAAGTAAGCAGAGAGCACAGCAAACAGGAGTAACAGCACATGAGGCAGCGTATGGGGAGTGCTAAAGAAAAAGTGTAGAGAAAGCTGCAGATGCAGGAAACAGGTCACTAAGGCTTCACTGAAGAGTTGAGAATGGAAAAGGGCCTTGAAGACGCACACATTTGACACACCATCTGGCTTCACACACACAAATCTTCATTATTTTTACTGTTAATCCACTGCTGTGAATGTCTTGATTTACGGTATCAGCAAAGACTAGAGAAATGTCCTGTCTCAAGCTGCTAAGACTTTTTTCTTACCTGCCTTTGTAATTGTTGACATCGAACATCTTCTTTGCTCGATAGTATATAAGCTTCCAGGGCCGGGCAATGTTCCTACCTAAAGTCAGAAGAAAGGTGATCAGAGGGGCTCACATGACATGAAGTCACAATTGTAAAAGGAACTCAGAACAGCCCTTGTAACAACATGAACTATCCTAAGCCCCCTGTTAAGGCTGGGATTTCCTGTGTCCTGAACAAAGCTGTCTTGAAGAGCAGATATACACAATCACCAGTTTCCTTGGAGATCTCCGAAAACTAAATGCTGAGTACCCCGAGGCTCCAGCTTCCGGTCTCTGCAATTTGTGGAAAGAATCCTTACAAGACAAAGTAATTTTAACATGATTTGAATTAAGAGGAAGAGAACACTACGGTGGCGAATACAGGGTAACAGTTCTCCAGAAGATGAACAACAAATCTTTCCCAAATCAGCTTTTCTCACTTTCTCACTCTAAGGTGAAATAAGCCCTCAACGGGGGCGCACTAGCCTGTTTTTCTTCGTGGACTCCACAGAACACCTAAGAAATTATCCTCTTTAAATTCAAGAGGGATTTGCTTTGGCTCTGATCCTCCATGACAGCATGACCTTCTAACTTCACAAGTAGCACCTCCAGTCGGAGGGTTCCAGTTACAAAGCACACATATGGCCACACTTAAGAAACGTGGGAGACCACGGTGCGTATAAGGATGTGCTTTGTGTAGCGCACACAAAATATAAATAAGGAACAGGAGGAGAAACCAAAACCATAACTATTGCCAAGGAAGAAAGGTAAAAGTTGATCATTCAATTTTTCACACTGAACTTGGGAGACATGAACACATTCCAAATCCCCAAAAGTAGAGACTGGCAATAAGAATACCATCAGGGCCGGGTGAGGTGGCTCACACCTGTAATCCTGGCAGGTTGGGAGTCCGAGGAGGGTGGATCATGAGGTCAGGAGATCGAGACCATCCTGGCTAACAAGGAGAAACCCTGTCTCTACTAAAAATACAAAAATTAGCGGCCGGGGCGTTGACGAGGTGCCTCGTTCTCAGCTAGGCTTAGGGGGAGGCAGGAGAATCGTGGGGACCCCAGACGGGTGGGAGTTGCAGAGCCAAGGACTTACAGCGAACGGCAGCAGGCTGGGCGAGGACTGCGGGCTCCTGAAAGAAAGAGAAAAAAAAAAAAAAAAGAAGATCATCGCACCAGCAGAGCGATTAATGCCAGCTGCCTGCACCGCGAAAGGCCAGTCGTTACCCGTGCGGAACGCACACTGACCAGCAGGTTAATCTTGTG